CACACACACACACACACACACACACTCACACACTCACACACTCACACGCGCGCACACACACGTCTTATGTAACCCAGCCCGGGCTGAGCAGGGCTGCAGAAAGCAGACACGCCGACCCCGGCTCGCGGGAGCAGGTGGGACCTCCTTTGGCGGGAGGGGAGTGGCGGTGGCGGCACTTGGCCACGCAGGTCCCAGCGAGTCGGAGAAGTTTCACTGTCCGACCCGAAGCCTCTCGATCGCCCCATCCCCCCCGCAGCGCTCCCGGGACCGTGTACGAACTGCCTCCCCCCTCCTAGGTCTCTGCCTCCGCGCGGGGGCCCGGCCGTGTGGCCGGAGGGAGCGGCCGGATGGAGCGGAGGATGAAAGGCGGATACTTGGACCAGCGAGTGCCCTACACCTTCTGCAGCGTGAGCGCCGCGCCGGCCTCCACGCCCGCCCCCGCCCCGCACCCCGCCCCTACTTGCCCCATAGCCCCCTCCCGGGGGGTCTCAGTGGGGTCCAGGGAGGCCTAGCCCCTGAGCCGCCCCGGGACCCCACCCCCCAAAAACTAGACTCCTTAGGGTGATTCGGGGCATTCTCCCCCCTCCTTCCAGCAGAAATCTCCCGGAAATGGGAGCTTGGGCGAAGCGCTGATGGTCCCGCAGGGGAAGCTCATGGACCCGGGCTCCCTGCCGCCTTCCGACTCAGAAGGTAAAGAACCAGACTAACTGCGACCCCTCTCCTCAACCCACACACATCCCAAAGCCCTATACTGGACCTCCCCAGCCCACGTTTCCCCAAAAGTCAAACCACCTAGAGGACTCTGATCCTTCTCCTTCCCTTATCCCAGTGGGGAGGCTGTAACCCGGGCTCGCCAGGTCTCTCCCCGTAGCCTCTCCACCTCATCACCAATTCCAATATTCACCCATCAGATCTCTTCCAGGATCTCAGTCACTTCCAAGAGACGTGGCTCGCTGAAGGTGAGTAGTTTTGTTGTCTTTATGGAATTAGAAGTGGGGTGTAGGGGGG